GTTTCACCAACCCAAAAGAGAAAAAGAAAGAAAAAAAATGGGAACAGGAAAAGTAGATTGGCTATACTATACCAACAATGGTACATCGCATGCGTGCTTTGATCTGGAAACAATTAATTGAATTATGGGAGAGATTTTGTGAGGTGGATATTACTTGAGGAAAGACCTCTGAGTAATTCACCATACATCTAACACTTCTCGGATCTGGAACCAAGTCTGATATATTTGAGCCAACCGGTTGGGATCTCCTGCCAACAAAATATGTTCCAACAATCATTCAAGCGCACATCTCACCATGTGACTCGATTTCATCATAAAATTTGGACCTGCCATGTATATGAGATACAGTGTCAGATTATATTGGAAGGGTGTTGGAAGGCATTTTATGTTTTTTACAGATTTTTTTTTCTTTTTCTTTTCATTTTTTTCTCTGTTTCAAATTGAAGGAGAAACTTGGCCTATCTGTAGAGTGCAGTATATGGTTTGATTGAAATAAATAACTTCAACTTGGATGTTGTTGCAGGACTTCACCAAATTCATCAAACACAAAATCCTAAGCCCCAACCCCACCTCATAGTATTTGATGAATCCTAATGCATTGTCTATAAGTCAAAGCAGCTATTAATTTGTCATCATCATTGTCTCAGTTATTCTTCACAGTTTTTCAAGTCTTCACCATTGCCATAGACTGTGTAAAGAAGAATAACCATACAACCCTTATCTTCCACCCCATGGATTTGGGGGACTAGCATATTTGGGAGGGACATACAATACAATGCTCAACCCATCCAGATCGATATATCTTCTTTTAGGTATGGCCCAATTAGCAAAGCCCTCTGCAAATCCCAACAATCCAATTAGATAAACCACCTCTTTTAATAGCCCATTCCCATCATCTTCTTGACCCAACTATATATACTAAGCAGGCGAGATATTTTGGTTGAATCTTTATATGTTCATAAAAGGGTTCATCTTCTATTTAACTTTAAAGGGTTAGGTGAAGAATCAAGGAATATTGCTTGAGCAAGTTGGTCATATTGACTTAGGCTTTGAACTCATTATTCTAATTGAATTTCTCATCAAATGCCTCATTTTAATTCCTCCTGTCATTACTTAATGAAACCAGGGCTAGACACTAGAGACTATTAGAGAAGGACATCGTCTTAGAGAGGAGATAGCTAACCCAATGTGGACAAACTATCAAGTGGCTCAGCTGAATGGAAGGAGTTAGGGAAGAGGAAGTCATACGTAGCTGTAGTTATTGAGGTTGTTATGACTTTGGGTGCTACTTTTTCTAACTTAAATACTACAAATATGCTATTTTTTCAATGCCCATGTTGTTTTTAATATTTCCATGTCGAAATGGGATTCAGTCAGTGCAAAGTCCGTTCAAACAATCATGATACCCTTGTATTAGGAATATCTTCCCATGAAATAAAACATAGAAATAAGGAGATATTCCCGATGCAATGCTATAAAGGCTGTTCGAACGGACGTTGCAGTGACTGAAGCCGATCTCTTCCATGTCAGCATGCCATGAGTCAAAGTTCAAATATGCCATTTCACCCCATAAATAGGGTTGTGTTGTGGAGTTGGAGAAAACATGAATTTATCCAAGTGGGCTAAAATCAAATATCCTGCAAAATTTTCTCATCAACCAAACACTTGAAGCAAATTCTGTAGGATAATATGTCTCAACAAACAAACAAATGATACTAAAAATGAGAAAATAAAATTTTTCTTTCTCATCCCATTGTTTCTCAACAATCAAACGAGATGTAAGGGGTTGCTCTATAACATGGTTAACTGCCATGAGAATAAAAATAAATCATTTTTACCAATGTGGATTTCTTTTTACTAACCACGTCATTGAACACAAATTCACATCGTCTGTCTCCTTAGTACAGGAAATTTTTTGTACACCTAGCCAATAGCAATTTGCGACACCATCATGTTTTTCCCACTTTAAAATTAAAGTGATTTTTTAAATGATCTGGCAGATTGATATTGATATGGTATAGAAAATTTTATGTACCAAGGAGACAAAAGATATGAATTCTTTGAACACCCTCTAAAACTATAAAAGCATGATGGAGCCAAGTTTGACTTTAGTCAATGCAATGCCTGTTCGAACAGCCTTTACAACCTTGCATTGAAAATATCTTCATACTTGTGTGCTTTATTTCATGGGGAGAAGTTTCAAATGTAAGATTGTAAGAGGTTGTTCAAACAGTATGAGCACGGACTTGCACTGGTCGAAACCGACCACCATGGGGGGGTCTTGCTTGGCTCCTACTATGATGGGATGAAAAACGTAATACCACCCCTTGGTTTTTATATCTAAACTTTAAATCCTAGTCCCTAAATCTGAATCCTTAAACTTTAAAATTAATGCCTAAAATGTCATTGGTTAAAGGCATGTCCTCCAACTGGTTAGAAGCCCAAAATTGTCGGTGTGATGGACGATTGAATATTAAAGTCATAAATAAAAAACACTTATATTTGTAAAATAAGAAATTAAAGAAAAGAAAAAGAAAATGGTTAGATCATATTTCTATTGGTTGGATTGAAATTTGAAGGCCAGAGTACCTTCACTAAAGCTATGTTTGGTCTGATGGAA